ATTATAGAACTTGGCTTGTATATTCCAACGATGGGCTTCCTCAAATGCCCTAGGTCTTCATGAGCAAGAAAGTTGGATGCACACCCACTTAGTTTCCAATTTGAGCTTTCATACACTTATAGTTCTTAGTGCATCCATTGCATGACAATCCCTACTCCTCGCATTGACATCAATTGATGGGCATCTCCATAGCCCGTTGATTAGCCGCGTCAATGTGAGACTTTCTCCCTTTTTTGTCTTCTCCACACAACCTCCATCATCATATTCTATTCCACCCATAGTGCTATGTCCATGGCTCACGCTCATGTATTGCGTGAAGAGTTGAAAAGGTTCGAAAAAGTAAAGTATGAAAATAATTGCCTGGCTGACACCGAGATGAGCATGAGGGGTACCTTGTGTTAAGAAAAGGGAGCATACAAGACTATATGATTTTGTAGGGATAGCGTTCTTTAGCATTGATATTTTGAAAGACATGATTGTTCGTTGGGATGCCCGAGTATTAAATTCTTTTATGTCAAATGGTAGACTATTGCTTTGAATCACTCGTGTCTCAATATTAATGCCATGATTAGATTACATGATCAAGATTATGCTAGGTAGTATTCCACATCAAAAATTATCTTTTTTATCATTTACCTACTCGAGAACGAGCAGGATTAAGCTTGGGGATGCTGATACGTCTCCGTCGTATCTATAATTTTTGACTGTTCCATGCCAATATTCTACAACTTTTACATACTTTTGGCAACTTTTTATACTATTTTTGGGACTAACATATTGATCCAGTGTCCAGTGCCAGTTCCTATTTTTTGCATGTTTTTTGTTTCGCAGAAAATCCATATCAAACGGAGTCCAAAGGGGATAAAAACTGACGGAGATTTTTTTAGAATATTTATGAATTTTGGGAAGAAGAATCAACGCGAGACGATGCCCGAGGGGGCCACGAGGCAGGGGGCACGCCCTAGGGGGGCAGGTGCACCCCTGACCCTCGTGGGCACCCCGTAAGGCGGTTGGTGCCCTTCTTTCGCCGCAAGAAAGCTAATATCCAGATAAAAATCGTGTTTAAATTTCAATCCAATCGGAGTTACGGATCTCCGGAAATGTAATAAAAGGTGAAAGGCCAGATCTGGGAGCGCAGAAACAGAGAAAGATAGAGAGACAGATCCAATCTTGGAGGGGCTCTCGCCCCTCCCACGCCATGGAGACCAAGGACCAGAGGGAGAGCCCTTTTCCCACCTAGGGAGAAGGCCAAGGAAGAAGGAGAAGGAGGGGGGCTCTCTCCCCCTCGCTTCCGGTGGCGCCGGAACGCCGCCGGGGCCATCATCGCGACAACGATCTTTACCAACAACTTCACCGCCATCATCACCAACTCCTCCCCCCTCTATGCAGCGGTGTAACCCCTCTTTTACCTACTGTAATCTCTACTTAAACATGGTGCTCAAAGCTATATATTATTTCTCAATGATGTATGGCTGTCCTATGATGTTTGAGTAGATCCGTTTTGTCCTTTGGGTTAATTGATGATCGTGATTGGTTTGAGTTGCATGTTTTATTATTGGTGCTGTACTATGGTGCTCTCCGCGTCGTGCAAGCGTGAGGGATCCCCGCTGTAGGGTTTGCAATATGTTCTTTGTTTTCTTATCGTCTGCGTTGCGTGAGTGACTGAAACACAAACACGGATAAGTGGGTCATGGCGTATGGAAATAAAGAGGACTTGATAATTTAATGCTATGATTGGGTTTTACCTTAATGATCTTTAGTAGTTGCGGATGCTTGCTAGAGTTCCAATCATAAGTGCATATGAGGTAAGAAGAGAAAGTATGTTAGCTTATTCCTCTCCCTCAAATAAAATTGCAATAGTGATTACCGGTCTAGTTATCGATTGCCTAGGGACAAATAACTTTCTTGTGACGAAAAGCTCTCTACTAAAACTAACTTAGTTGTGTATTTATCTAAACAGCCCCTAGCTTTTATTTACGTGCTCTTTATTTTCTTGCAAACCTATCCAACAACACTTCTAGTTTCATACTTGTTCTAGGTAAAGCGAACGTTAAGCGTGCATAGAGTTGTATCAGTGGTCGATAGAACTTGAAGGAATATTTGTTCTACCTTTAGCTCCTCGTTGGGTTCGACACTCTTACTTATTGGAAGAGGCTACAATTGATCGCCTATACTTGTGGGTTATCAAGAGACCTATTCTGCACAACTCCAAAAGTCCTTAAAACTTACGAGGTATTGTTTTGGAATATATAAAAATTATTGGGCGAAGAAATACAAGAAGGGGGCCCACCAGGCAGCCACAAGCCTGGGGGGCGCCCTACCCCCTGAGCACGCCCCTAGGGCTTGTGGGCCCTGGCAGGCCTCCGGTTCCCATCTTCTGCTATATGAAGCATTTTGACCTGGAAACAAAATCAAGAGAGAGCTTTCGGGACGAAGCACCGCCGTCTCGAGGCGGAACTTGATCAGAACCAATCTAGAGCTCCGGCAGGGCTGTTCTGCCAGGGAAACTTCCCTCCGGGAGGGGGAAATCGAAGCCATCGACATTACCAATGATCCTCTCATCGAGAGAGGGTCAATTTCCATCAGCATCTTCATCAGCACCATCTCCTCTCCAAACCGTAGTTCATCTCTTGTATCCAACCTTTGTCTCAACACCTCAGATTGGTACCTGTAGGTTGCTAGTAGTGTTGATTACTCCTTGTAGTTTATGCTAGTTGATTTATTTGGCGGAACATCATATGTTCAGAACCTTAATGATAATTAATACTCCTCTGACCATGAAAATTAATATGCTTTATGAGTAGTTACTTTTGTTCTGAGGACATGGACAAGTCTTGTTATAAGTAATCATGTGAATTTGGTATTCATTCGATATTTTGATGAGATGTATGTTATCTTTCCTCTAGTGGTGTTATGCGAACTTCGACTACAGGACACTTCACCATTGTTTGGGCCTAGAGGAAGGAATTGGGAAGTAATAAGTAGATTATGGGTTGTTAGAGTGATAGAAGCTTGAACCCTAGTTTATGCGTTGCTTCGTAAGGGGTTGGTTTGGATCCATATGTTTCATGCTATGGTTAGAGTTCTTAATTCTTCTTTCGTAGTTGAAGATGTTTGTGAGAGGGGTTAATCATAAGTGGGGGGCTTGCCCAAGTAAGGACATCAACCCAAGCACCGGTCCACCCACATATCAAATTATCAAAGTAACGAACGCGAATCATATGAACATGATAAAAACTAGCTTGACAGAAATTCCCATGTGTCCTAGGGAGCACTTTGCTTAATATAAGAGTTTGTCCAGGCTTGTCCTTTGCTACAAAAAGGATTGGGCCACCTTGCTGCACCATTGCTACTTTTATTACTTGTTACCCGTTATGAACTATCTTATCACACAACTATCTGTTACTGATAATTTCAGTGCTTGCAGAGAATACCTTGCTGAAAACCGCTTGTGATTTCATTCTGCTCCTCGTTGGGTTCGCCACTCTTACTTATCGAAAGGACTACGATAGATCCCCTATACTTGTGGGTCATCAATCTTCTCTGAATTCTTATATGCAAGATATCATATCTTTGTAAGTCTCTTCGAGTTATGGGTTTGGTTTGGCCAACTAGATCAGTAATTCTTGCAATGGGAGAAGTGCTTAGTTTTGGGTTCAATCTTGCGGTGTCTTCACCAAGGGACAAAGTAGGGGTAGAGAGGCACATATTGTATTGTTGCCACCAAGGATAAAAAGATGGGGTTTTAATCATATTGCTTGAGTTTATCCCTCTACATCATGTCATCTTACTTAATGCATTACTCTGTTCTTTATGAACTTAATACTCTAGATGCAGGCAGGAGTCGGTCGATGTGTGGAGTAATAGTAGTAGATGCAGGCAGGAGTCGGTCTACTTGTCACGGACGTGATGCCTATATGCATAATCATTGCCTTAGATATCGTCATAACTTTGTGCTTTCCTATCAATTGCTCGACAGTAATTTGTTCACCCACCATATTATTTTCCTTCAAGAGAGAAGCCTCTAGTGAAACCTATGCCCCCCAGTTCTATTTTCCATATTATATTTTCAGATTTATAAACTAAAAACATAAAAATACCTTGCTGCAATTTATTTACTTTTATCTTAATTATCGTTTAGTAATCTTTTATATTTATCTCTATCAGATCTCATCCTTTCAAATAACCGTGAAGGGATTGACAACCCCTTTTCCGCGTTGGGTGCAAGTTTTTGATTATTTGTGTAGGTACACTTATTAGGGATTTGCTTCTGTCTCCTACTGGACTGATACCTTGGTTCTCATCAACTGAGAGAAATACTTATCTCTACTTTGCTGCATCACCCTTTCCTCTTCAAGGGAAGACCAACGCAAGCTCAAGAAGTAGCAGAGGGCACCAACGATTGTCAAAAGGGTGGTAGTCTACATCGGAGATGATGATGGCCAACGACAGCTAGCAGAACTCAACACTCTAAAGGACTGGACCCTAAGACCATAAACTTGACACAAGGATGCATTTGTAGAGTAAACATTGCAATGCATGGGAAGGAATTATTATGACGGCTTAAATTCGGTTTGGATAGGAATCTAACCCAATTTTTTGGAGTATTAGGTAAGAAAAACAGATGCAATCTAAAAACAGATAAACATAGAAATTTCTCACCAAGTAACCTGAAATATGATACCACGTGATAGGTACAAAGGTGTCCCAGTCTTTCAATGAGATAATATCGATTTTGTTGCACGAGCCTTTGACGAACCAACAACAAACTTTGGTATGTTTATTGACAGTGTTGAAAACACATTCAACTTTATCAAAACCATCGGTACATATGAAAAGATATTGATACAAGTTATCGAAACCATATTTTTTATTGGTTATATCCATCATACAAAATATGGTACATCTATAATATCGAGAAGGTCATGCACTTCATATAATACTTCAAGCCTATGCACTACACACCATCTAAGCTCATACAACGCTGATACAAAAGAAAACTATCTAGGGGTTAGTGTAGATATAGTTATATCATTAACACTACACGACTGATTTGTAGTGGGTGCTTCTTTGTCCCCCGTGAAATATGCCGGGTGCTTAGGCTTATCTACGATCATGGTCTTGCTGCTTAGCATTGCGACAACATCCAACATGGTTGGTCGATCAATTGCACTCTCTTGTACACATAACAATGCAATGTTAATGCACCTCATCATTTCTTCCGAATGACCGTTGGGAAGCAATGCCGTATCAATGAGATCGACCCAGCTTTCCTCTTCAAATAATTGCCAAGCCTATTAAAAATTTCATCAAATACTTCAGGAAGACACATAATAAACCAGTTTTTTCTTTCTTATTTTATGGATTGTAAAGGTGCACTCACATGTCCAAGGATGTTGATGAAATTTCCACATTCATGAGAATTCCTTTTCCCGCTAAGGATCTCAAGAGTCAAAACACCGAAGCTGAAGACATCTGATTTGATAGAGAAGAGACCGTGGAAAGCATACTCGGGTGCCATGTAGCCACTAAAATTATGCAGCAACATATATCCACTTACTATATGGTCGAGTTGCAATTGATATGTTCATAAATGGAGTAATTTATATGAAACTTACAGTGTACCAACTACTTTCCTTGTAGCATTTGCTTCGGTGTTATTTGAACTGAATATTTTTGCTAGTCCAAAATCTGAAATTTTTGCATTCATTTCGCTATCCAAGAGAATGTTGCTTGGTTTAAGATCTCGATGTATAACATGCAACCTAGAGTGCTTATGAAGGTAAAGAAGTCCTTCTGCTATCCCCACAATTATTGCAAGACGTATGTCCCAGTCCAGTAGTGCTTTTCTATTTTCATCTGCACGTAAATAAAAGTTAATATAATAGAGTAATCAAAAGAAACAATCTAAAACCGAGAACCCTAATTTATGTAATATTTGAAGGTACCATCATGACAAACAATGTTAAACATATGAATCTGAAAGTGCAAATATATATATACCAAAGATGAAGAAGTCCAAGCTTTTATTTGACAAGTATTCGTAGACCAGTATTTTCTCCTCTCCTTGAGAGCAACATCCCATGAGCCTAACCAAATTTCTGTGTTGAAGTTTCGCTATGAGCTCAACTTCATTTTTGAACTCAATGAAACCTTGTTGTGAATGTGAATCAAGTCTCTTCACTGCTATCTCATTTCCGTCAGGTAAATGGCCCATGGAAAAATAAATATTTTTATCAATATTATGCAATAATCCGGGCTGCTTTACATTGCACAAGTTAATTCACAATTCAGTAGTACCAAGTAAAAGCGCATTTACACTACTTTCGATCTATGCTCTTCCTGTTGTTAATCATCATTATTGTTCCTATACTCTGATGAGGCTCTGGGATGCATTTTGTATTGCCTAGAAAACAAGGATTAAAGAACGGTGCTATATATTATTACCTTATAAACAGGGCCAAATCCACCTTGGCCAAGCTTGTTTTCCTCGGAAAAGTTAACTGTAGCCTCTAATATCTGATGAAAGTCAAATACTGCAAACTCAGCCAACTCTGTTTCCATTTCCCAAACTAGTTCATCTCTTTCTTGAAACTCGTGAGTAGTCTTTCCTTGCAACGTCGTCCCTTTATCTGAAAATTATTAACTAGCGCTATCAAATATGGATCTCTTGAAATTATGACCCTTTATGACTATGTTGATCATTTCAGTAACTAATTTACTCACCTTTTGTGCCCTTTGTTCTAAGATGCCAACCATGGTAAAGGATGAAGCAGAGAGCAGCTAGCGCTACTGGAGCTGCCACCGATAAGGCAATTACCCAAGGTTTGACTTCATGTCCTTAGAAATTAAACATCCATGCACGAATTGGCATATCATACTAAATTAACCCAGAACTAATAAGGATTGTTCATCGCATACGTACTCTTGCCTGCTGTAGCCATAGGCGCCGCCGGTGCCTGAGCGAGGAATGATGGAGATGGAATCCGCCGTATGTTTTTGTCGTCGAAGAACATGAACGCCTCGAACCTGACGTTGCAGCGGAGCAGGAAGATCCGTCCTCCTAGGCGCAAGGAGTTGGTGGTGGTGACGGTGCCCAGGAGCTGCTCGAGGCACGCCAGGCAGTAGCCAGTGGACAGGTCCGGCGTGCACTGCGCCAGGGAGTAGAGCGTTGTCGTGGTGCCGCGGCCAATGGAGTCCATGAACGCTGTGGCGAACCTCCTCGCCGTGGTGGCCGCGTCCTGTGCCGTCTGCCTCAGGAGCTCCCTGACGGCATCAGCGACGACACCGTCGTTGCCGCGGATGTTCGCCGTGCTAAAATACTGGAATAAGGTACCGTTCCCGGTAGTGCCGGACGCCGGGCTGAGGAAGCTGCCGTCGTCGGAGAATCCAAGGAGGCAGCCTGGTCGAAGCGCGTTTACCTCGTCGTAGTCGAAGTAGACTGTTGCGGTCCTGCTGTTCGGGCACATTTTCAGCGCGTAATTTAACGCGGAGTTGAGGCACTCTGTGCATGCGGTGAGGTTGGTGGTGTCGCGGCGGCAGAGCGCCAGCATGTACATGCTGGCGCTGGCGCTGGCGAAGAGCTGCGGGGAAGAGGAGGCGGTGGCGTTGGCGGTGATGAAGAGCTGTGGGGAGGAGGAGGCGTTGCTGGGCAGGGTGGCGGCCAGCACGGCGAGGTTGGACTGGTAGGTGCTGTCGGCTTTGTAGTTGCGGCCGCCGCCACAGATGGACCCGATCGCCGTTGCCAACCCCGGTATGAGGTGGAGCAGCAGCAGCAGCAGCAGCACGCCCGCCATGCTTTCCACTAAAGTGGAACCACGATACAAGGTTCGTTGAAAGAAAGTACACTACTCAAGAAAGTAAAGACAGGATTTACTTTGCCTTTTCATACCACAGGTAAAGTAAAGATGCTAGCTATGCAGATAAAGGTGGCGCATCACCTGAAACTACTGAGAGACGCCGGAATTGGCCGCTGCTACAGCCGCAGTAGAAGGGGATTGGGGGAGAGAGAGAAAGAGTCGGGTGAGATTGGATTTGGTTGCAAGGGACTCATTAATTTAAAGCCGTGCGCGAGGTTCTTTTCTTCTACTAATATAAAAGTCGGGTGAGAGAGACAAGAGAAATGAGGAGGAAGACAGCGACGGTATCAGAATGGCTAGAGGATGCAGATAAAGGGGAAGTCAGTGTGTGGCTTTGTTTGTCGTTGCTTAAAATGCAAAGAGAGTCAGGTCTCGTGGAGAAGGTTTACTAACACCAACACCGTCCAAAACGAAGCAGATCCGTCGGAAAGACACATTCACACACCAGTGATGGAGCCAAATAATCAATCTTGTATGGTCAATTTGAACTTGTGTAATTAAACATTTGAATTTCGGTTACATTTTTGCAAGATTTGTACATGAATATGTTGATTTTATCAAAAGAATTGAGAAAAGGGAGAAGACAGAGGAGAGAGAGAGAGAGAGAGAGAGAGAGAGAGAGAGAGAAGACAGAAGAGTGAAGAGAGAAAAGATAGAAAGAGAAGAGAGAGAAGTTAAATAGAGAAGAGAGAAATGAGAAAAAAAAAGATAGAGAAGAGAGAACAGAGAGAAAGATAAAGCTAGAGAAGAGAGAGAGATCCCATATATATGTGTTAATTAGTATAGTTTTGTTATACGTCTAGCTAGATTATTAGTGAGATATCCCATATATCTAGAGGGGGAGGGGATGGAGAAACACATCGTTATTAATTTCTTACTTGCATTGTTTACTTCTACTCACACACGACATACCCAGCTGACCGTGTGTGTGCTTGCAAAAAGTGTAAAGAAAGTGAGATTACTTTTTGCACGTACGCTGCTTTCATGTGTTTCAGAGAGTCAACAACTTTCATACATTCAATTTTTTTTGGGAGAAATTTGGGTGCTTTTTGATATTGCACTAGATGTTCCATCCATTTCAAAACATCTAGCATATTGTTTCCGTAAAGTTGTAACCAACAATTAATCATCTATTACTATATACTTTTATGTGACATAAAATTAATGTCATTAGGTTATATTAGAATCATATTTCAAAGTACATACCTGGGGTTATAATTTGGTATCAGAAAATTTACATAATAAACGAAACCTAACACCTACTACATTTCAAAACAAAGAATGTTCTAAATTCTGATTATTCACGTCTTCTCGAGGTTCACCTATACGTGATTGGCACGGCCGGCCGGCCGGCAGTGGATGACTTGGAAGATTGACTTGGCCGGTAGTGGCTGTCCAGTCTGTTCTCTCTGTTGCTTTCCAATTAGATTGAACGATCAAATTCGGCGTCACCCATTTAATTTGTTGACTCAAATATTTCACTTAACTGTCACACTAGGTCTACCAGCTCTAGACCGGCAAGAATAGGATGGAAATTTTTTGCACCATAGAAAAGGTCGAAGGGAGAATCGGAGAAACCGGCCGATCGACAAAAGATAGTTTCAGAATAAGAACTATAGAGGAATCAGGAGTGCAGCCTTTCAGTGCTCGGGCTCTATTGAGTCTGTCTTTTGAAACATTAAGCGATTGCATTTAAATTATTCAAAAATTCTAAAAGTAATAATCACAATGACATATGGATGTACTACTGTATGAAATTTTGTGAGAAAATACTTTGACACGCGACACAAAAAAGTGAAATAGTTGGTTTTGTATAATGAATAGTGTGCACACAATTTTGTCTATTTTTTGCGAAACACGCTCACATATGTACAAACAGACTCAGCCCTATGAATGCACGCACACACTCTACTCCTATGAGCCCCTCTGATCAGATTGAGCCGGCAGGTCTCGAGGTTGGCGATGTCACCACAAGTGCCTCGTTGTCGACGGACACGTCGCTTACTAGAAACAATTGTGTAGTTTGTGTGTCAATGTTGTCATTTTTGTGTACCTCTCTGCTATGTTGTCTCAACATAGCCGGTCCCCATCCTGAATAAAGGAGGAGGATTGTGATAGGGTTGGCGAGCTAACGTCAAAACTCAGCCACCCTTATGGGGATGAAGCCTAGACGAAAATCATTGGGCATAACCCTCTTAGTGACATGCCATATTGGAACCTGGGTGTGGTGTCAAATGGGCAGACACTATAAAGAAAGGACACTTCTTGACATTTCGGCCATACAAAAATATTATCTGTCATAGAGGTACACTTCCATGACAAAAAAAGTGGGAAATACATATTGTCATGGATGTGTTGACGAAATACTTCTATAAAAAATATTACGGCAGAAAATGGAAAATTCATCCTGGACGGGCTGGTTGTGCACCTCGATGACGTTATTTGGACCTTTCATGGCAAAGAATCATGATAGAAGTGAGGGTGAGAATTTTTTCGTGATTCCTTGTATGAGTAGCATCACACTCAGTATATGGTGAGAGGTCGGAGCCGAGCAAGATGTTGGGTAGTTGTGCGATTGTGTGCAAACATGGGGGACTTACATTACAAAACCAACTCTGCCCCGATCAATCGATGCAAGACTTGCTAGCCTGGTCGATGCAAGACTCGCTAGTTGGAGAAACTGCATGTGTGAGTAGATACACCATTGTGACCGTGCGCGTTAGTTGGAGCTCTATATGCGCGAGGAGCTACTAAGTTGGAGAGGCGTATGCGATAGGTTGATAACCCCGTATGCGAGTGCAAACGAATGTTGCAGCCTCTCAATACGAAAGCAATAATGCTAAACATACAAAAGAGTGTGATACTGATTCTGCGCGGTCGTGCGAGATATTTGGGGACCCGTTTGCGAGTCCCACCAGCTGCAGCCTCTCACTACACAGGAGCCCGATGTTGTGTATGTAGGTGCGATCATTCGCCATAGGTATATATATTGTTGCCCCACCTAGTTGTGAGGCACAAATGTTGCCTCTCCTATAGGTAGTGGAGACCCCCAGCCGGTTGCGAGCCTCTCTCAATAATAGCGGTTGATCAATGTTGAGTAGGCGTGCGCGAGCCCCTAGCTGATTGTGAGCCCCTCTCAATACAAGTGCCCGATTGTGGTGTTCGGTGTGCGTGATAGCCCCCAGCCAGTTGCGAGGCACCGAATGTTGCCTCTCAATATAGGAGTCCCATGTTGCGTAGACGCGTGCAATAGCCCCTAGTCAATTACGAGCCCCTAGACGTTGGCTCTCAGTATAGTAGCCCGTTATTGCGTAGTGTGATATCCCCACCAAGCCGTTTTGCCATCGAACATTGTATGCAACTGGTCGGTGCATACTTTGCGCGATAGCTGGAGACTCCGGACGTATATGCACAAGTATGACCGCAAACAAGGATGTCAACCTTAGTAGTCTTGATAGTTGCACAAGATAATTAAAACATAACGTGGTAGATAATATTTTTTTTGTATTTTTAAACTAAAAGAAATATAAAAATAATAGTGCATATGAAATTTGTTCGAAGGTGATTCTTATGCTAAAACCGGACCGGGGTTCATAGGTTCACTAAGTGCATCCGTCCAATACATAAAAATGTGGTAAGTAACATAATTGTAAGGGCATATCTATCCCTTAGTTGTTTTGGTGATTGATGATAATGCTTTTGCGGACTAATCGTGTGCATTGAGCATTTCAGGTATACCATGTATAAGCACAAGACGGTTTGGTGCCTCTCGAAGACTATCGAATGTGGCGTTTCTCTACGATTCGTTTTGGTGGATTTGAGTCGTAGGAAAGCCGTACTATTAAGAGGGTGTCCGTGTTGGAAAGGTTTGGGTGGAATCATCACGTACATATCTTCGCCATTTGCACCACCTTTCCTTTGGCTCTTTGGAGCATCCTCCGTTTTTCCATGTCTCTGCGAAATGAAGGATTCCTAGTGTTGCTGAATTAGGGCATGCGGTAGTACTGCTCCCTGCAGCGGTAGTACCGCAGGCCCTTGCGGTAGTACCGCAGTCCTCGCGGTAGTACCGCAGGTGCCCACGGCAGTACCACATCCTAGGTGCGGTCACTAGTGCAGAACCGGGCAATAGCACCGGTTCGTAAGGCCCTTTAGTGCCGGTTCCTTAACCGGCACTAAAGTGTGGGCACTAAAGCCCCCCCCCCCTTTAGTACCGGTTCAGCACGAACCGGTGCTAAAGGGCAACCACGTGGCACGAGCCAGCTCTGGGGGCCTGAAGCCCTTTAGTACCGGTTGGTAAGACCAACCGGTACTATAAGGTTTGGGGGGTTTTTAGTTTTATGATTTCTTTTTCATTTAATTTTGTGTTTCTATTTTAATTCTTTTTCGTTTGCTGGTATTTTACGATACTACACATTGTACACGTTATGCATATATATATATATATATATATATATATATATATATATATATATATATATATAGAATTTTTAGTAGAACCAATCATGCATATATATATCATCAATGTCTCACAAACCACCATATTAATTAATTCACACATCCACAAATGTATAGCTATATACAATTTCTCGTACAAATGCATGTTGCCTTCGGAGCCAGTGGCATTAGCCTAATTGGTGCCTTCGGAGCACGATGACAATCGGAAGTGGTTCATAGTAGCGGGTAATAGTATTCTCCCTTCGGATTTATGACCTGGTCGAGTAAAAATCCCGCTATTTCCTCTTGAAGTGCTTCTACGTGCTCCGTTTCTAGGAGCTTCTCCCGCACCTCTTTGAACTGTTAAGAAGGAGATCAATATGCACGTGTATTAGTTGTGTGACTAGATATCGATAATGGTGTAAAAATTGTGAATAGTGTTCTGACAAGCGTATCCATTCATGTCTTTGAGATCTGCTCCTTTCGGACGCCATCATGCGAAT